TTTTTATGCCATGCATTTATCGTGTCAAGATTCAATCAACTGTCCTGTGTGTTTAATAGGGGAATTATGTAAAGTACATAAAGTACACTTTGTGTTATATAATGATATTTCACAAACAACTTTGATAAAATAAAGTTAATACGACTAATCTATGCTGTTTAAGCATTATAATATGTAGGTTTTATGTGAATCCTTTATGGGATGCATATTTTCTTATTTCATTTTAAGACGTTTGAAGCAATGATTATAACATCTTCCTGCAATATCTATAAAAAAAAAACAACAACAAAAAACAACAACAACACAAAAAAAAAAGCTACCAAAACAAAGAATTAAGTTAAGAGTCTACCACACCCCAAAACAACTACCAAAACAAAGAATTAAGTTAAGAGTCGTATACTTTATTTTACAAATTTGTTTCAGGAACTATTTTCTAATCATGTTATTACACTTTTTGATTAAGGGAACTATTTTCTTATCGTGTTATTGCACTATTTGTTTCAGGAACTATTTTCTAATCGTGTTATCGATATAATTAACGAAGCAGATCCTGACGCTCAACCTTTGTATTTATACATCTCGTTCCAATCAGTACACGGTCCTCTAGAGGTACACATTTGTACATTTATATAGGAGTTCCTAAAACATTTTTATTTACTATTGCAGTAAATGTAGATTTATTTTATATGATGTACAAGCGTAGAATAATGGAATGTTGTATTATTATTTTTTTTTTAAATCTTAGTTTCGCATTTTAAAGGATAAAACAATATTCTTAAAATACATTTATATTGTACAGCTGTTGTTTTGACGTTGTGTCTACATGTGTTGTTTCTAATATGACATCGAGTCTTTCAAATTGTCGCTAATGATATTATATGATTCGAAACAACAGTGATAAGTGGTATGTCATTAAACTGATTCTAATGTTGAACTGATCATATATTTCCCGCAAGTTTATATGTCAACGATCCTTTTCTTACTTTAAAAGAACATTAATGCTACATGCCTCTACATTAGCCTTTTTATTCAAGAAAATTAAACTTGAGAAAAATGTACTTAAAATTTAAGAAACACAAAAATGTTCATAATTCAAGCAATATAGTACATTTTATGTGTAATTAATGTCATATTTTGCAGAATTTATCGCCCCATTTAGAACTACAGTCTTACTGACACATTAAGAGTAATTTATATTTACCTCTATCTACATGGATTAAAAAGTGTCGTTTACATTGTGCAAATTACTTTCTTTGTTCACTTCTTTTAAATAATTTTTCAAAATTGTCATGACAATAAACATGAATCTGAAGGCATGCTGCTTTACGTTTCAACAAGCCAAGTCATGTTAAAAATATCAAAACGAATATATTTTATCAATATATGCAGCACCAAACTGTACGTCTTCATGATTAAAAATAATCATTACTGTTTTTAAAAAAACATTTCTGTTTTAATAATACCATAGTTTAATTACATAAATCCAGAAAATTAATTTTCGTTTTGAAACAAAATGAAGAATTGACCAAAAGCTAGACAGTGTAAAATGACTTTGCAGGAATTGTACTGTAATTCCAAAGCTTAAACGTATATACATTAAAGAGACTCCAATGAGCTTTTTCTTACATCATGGGACTGGAAATATGTTTCCGAGATTTTAAATTGTCCATTTGTTATAGGTCTAGACCAATTATGTGTGTGCAAAATTTCAAAGATCTTCGCCCATTTCGTTTTTTTCTATAAAAAATTCTCATCGTGAAATAAAAAATATTCTCATCGTGAAAAACAAACCAAAGTTGAACAGCGTTGCAACGCTTTTTACTCATATCGAGTTAAATATAGCACAAAAACATATGATTTTCAATTGATTTCCGAGTTTACTTTTAACTATCTTTTGCAAATCTTTCTTTTGTAATTGCCCCCAGCTGATCTTATTAAGAAATTCAAATTTTATGTTTAAGGTTTTGGATCTCAGTGAAGTTCCTTTAAATTGTCAATTGAAAATAATTGATTTTGAAAATTTAGTTTCTAATTACTTTATAATTAATTAGTAGAAGTTCTCTTTTTAGGTTCCGGAACGATTTGAAAAATACTATCCAGATGTTGTCTATCCTGACAGGAAAACGTATAGCGGTAAATATTACCCGCCTAGATATAAGTTATTAGAATATTTGTATCTGTATTAATCTATATTCAAAAATTTGAAGTTCTTAAATCTGTAAAATAACTTACTTGCAATTTATTTTATTATTCTTTACTTATATCTCTTTTTGTGATACAAAGATAAAGATAATTATTTAGCAATATATATTGTAACAATGGTGCCTGTAACGCTTTAGATATAGATATAATATGTCGGTTATTACCTTTTTATGCGCACGCGTAATTAAAAGTCTACGATGTATGGTCATTGATTATGAGAATCCAATTAAGTCAGTTAATATAATACTACACCCAGGGAATATGATTTGATAATTTGTTCTGTTGTTCAATAAGATTGCAATTATTATTAGATCATTTGTATCTTAGTTTGGGGACCTTTCTGTTGAAAATGTGTCAGAGTTAAATCGTATAACTGTGCGTTAACTTGAGTGCAGGTATTAGTTACCCTTACTCCAGAACATGGCCATTGATTGGCTAATTTTTGCTGGGGTTTACATATTGTGACGGCAGAGAAAGGGAAAGCGACTTCAGATGTTCGTTCATTGGTTCCTTTGTGCCGGGGTTTCATATTGTGACAACAGGGAACGTATTTTTATGTTTGACTATGAATAAAAAGAGAAAGTACATCAAAACACTCGGCAATCTGATTAATACTCGGGGCTACGCCCCCTCGTACAAATAGGATAGCCTCGTGTTTCGATGCTCTTTCTTTAACATAATAATAAGAATTACATATGGATAGATGGATAGTAGCATTGGAAAGAAAGATCTTACATTCTCTGTAAGGGCGATATTCACATGTTCCAGGTTGATACAAGAGATATAATGTCTCTAGCGGGATATTCTCAATGAGCTGATATTCTATAATGGTTTGACATTAAGTAATGAAATAATTTATGCTAATGCATTTTAATATTACAAGTTTATTTGTAGGGATGGTATCTGCTCTAGATGAAGCGGTGGGAAATATAACTGGTGCACTTGAAGCAAATGGCTTTATGGACAACGCTGTTATTGTTTTTACCACTGACGTAAGTATAACGTCATATGGAAGTACACTATTCAAACAAACGAAATAGGATTTTTACAAAATCAAACAGAGATTTCATTTTAATTACATATTAATTTCGTATCTAACTTATATAATGGTGCAGAAAATATTTCAATAAATCGCTTCTAATTGTGAATTATTTGATTGAGGGTCAATTCTTTTCAATTCCTTAGATCAGCTTCTAGGTTATATAAGAACCTGTTAATTGTTTTATTTTATTTACAAGTTTTCTTTTTTTCTGATCAGATATCACGAAATGAAAAAAAAATTACTGAGAGATTCGTAGTTGAAATATAGATATAGAAGGAAACAATTAGAAGGAAAAGTACAAGAGAAATGATACTCACCGCATACACACATGTATTATACAGTAGTATACGTGTCAGTCATAAATCATTGCCATGTATAATAAATAATAAGCATGGCTTAACATGCATAGAAAAGAATTAGAATGATTAACACTGCATAGACAAACATGATGAGCATTACTTACCATGCAATGTAAATAATTAGAATGACTAAACATGCATAGAAAATTATTATCATGAGTACCACATTGTCAAAATAGCCATTTTATATACATAAAGAAACACAAATATCTGCCATTTCATATTATTTGTTGTTTTGACGTGACTTCACAACTGTGGCGTTCTATCCGGTTCGCGCATTGTGCATTTTCATGAAATGAAATTGGAAATAAAAAAAGAAGAAAAAAATGGTTTAGAAAGAAGCTTCAAATATTGTCAGAAAGCTTATTTTCAGCAAGCCTTTTTGTTGGTGAGCAGGTCCAGTGAAGAAACCAAATAAAGCAGCAAGTCTAGAAAACGGTCGGCTTTCTAGAGCAAAGTTGAGCCTTACCAACGGTCCGCTTTCCAGAAAAGAAGCAGTCTGCTTCCCAGAAAAGAAGCAAGTTTTAAAACGGTCCGCTTCAAAGGAAAGAAGCAAGTCTTAGCAACAATCCGCATCCCAGAAAGAAAGCAAGTCTAAGGAGCGCAGCAAGTCTAAGAAGCATAGCTAGTCCAATAGTGCAGCAACCCAAGGAAGCAAATCTAAGAAGCGTAGCAAGTCCAATAGTGCAGCAAGTCCAATACTGCAGCAAGTCTTAGGAATGCAGTAATTTTTAACTTATAATCACAAGTACCGCTCGGAATATCGATACAAATCTTATCAGTGAAACAAAAACACATGCATTGTAAATCAAGCACATATTTGTATTCTATTTTTAGAATGGTGGTAAAGCTACTGAGGGCGGTTCTAATTATCCGTTACGTGGCAACAAAGGCTCTTTATGGGAAGGCGGTACCCGAGGTGTGGCCTTTGTTCATAGTCCAACCTTATTGAAAAAATCGGGATACATTAATTCTGAGTAAGATTCCTAATCGTTGCATTTTGTAATTTGTGCTACTTTAAGCCGAGTGAAATGATACTAAAATCTGAAATAAAATTCATACTTTTTTCAGTTTAAGTTGTTCATGTATCTACATTAAAAAAAATTATTTCATTCTTTTCATTTGATTACTAATTTATCCGTGAAAATTATATTTAATAATTTCACAGTGAAAATTATCAAAATATAATTTCACACTTTTCAATGACGAAACTACTTTCTTAAGATTTTCCCCATGTGGTACCTCAATTTTATATTGCTGGCAATTCTGACAATGTCAGGCTGTTCAGAGAAAAACGAAGCTGAAATTGATAAATAACTGGAATGTCAAAAGTAATGAAATGAAGAAAACTTACCTCTATTCATTCAAATTACCAATCACCAAATATCGTCTCTTATTTTTTTTTCATTTTAACAGTCTGAAAAATAAATTCCTTCCACATGCAAAACTGCTCTTGATTACATTTTGGCATATTTCATTATCCTACGAGCAATAATTGTATGCTTTATGAAAACTTGAAAAGCAATGACAGCCATCAGCTCGAAAAATATGTAAACAGCCCAGCGTTCGTTACTGTTCGTTACTGTAGGCAGCCTTTCAACACTTTAAAGTTTTCCAATTTCCTAGCCGCTTTTGGAATGTTTACACTTCTGTCAACTCTTATTTATTGTCTGTTACAATCCTCAAATAAGTTTTCTTTCTTTTAAAAAGGTGTATAACTTACAAATCAAAATGATATCCCTCTGAATCAAACACAATTATTTTCCTCCCGTGAGATACACAACTTTTAAAAATGGTGGCCGCTTACATTTGACAAAGCCAGGTCGAATATAAATTCGCAGTAAGTAACAGAAATATGGATGAATGGTTTGACATTTTATCCTACTAGAACTGTTTGTTTTTATCATTAAAACAAGGGATGATTCATATTTTTGTAATTAAATGAATAATATCACTGCCATTTAACGTTGATTGTCGAACTTATTTTTCAGCCCAAGACTTCTTGTATTTAATGAGAAATTCGACTAAATGAGGCTCTCAGTGGGGAAAACATAGTTTAATATTAACGTTAATATTTAAGGAAATTTCGTTTTAACTTTTTTTAAGCATAAAATAAGAAGAAATTTGTTTGTTTGTTGTGTAAGATGTAGTTTTATTTCATCTCGTGAACTTTAGAAACAGTATTCTACGCCACTCGTGAGAATACTGTCGATGAAATAAAATTTCATCTTACACACAAACAAACAAATATCCTCTATGTCTTTTCATTGGTTGTTCTTTTTAACTCAAGTAGAAATATTTGTAACATTCTACAAGTAAGATCGATCATTCGTATTCATAATTATATTCTTGGGAATAGCATACTCAATACTTATACAATTTACCTTTTAATAACTTATTGATCATATAAACATGTTGCTGCTCATTTTAACTGTACATTCACAATAATACATTGTAACTACATTGTAGCTGCTTTTCACCTTTAAAGTAGGTAGCCATCGATTTTTGAGGTTTAAAAGTACAAGAATTATTATGTAATGGAATAAATCAAATTGCAAATACTTCAGAATCTGATACATTTTTAAGGTATTGTAGGTAAGTGAGCAAGAACGTTGTGTTTAACACACTTCCTCTAACGATATGATGTATTCAGTAGCATTATTCAAGTAAATGTTAAAGTCAATTATTGTTTCGCACATATGAGTTGTCGTTTCGCGCAAACGTCAATTTATGATGTCAAATGGGTAATGCATAAACAAACGAGGGATGAAGAATAATGTTTTGTCCGCATTAAATGGGGTATGTTATTGATAATATTGTTTGTTTTTTCGTCACAGAATGATACACGCTGTTGACTGGTTCCCTACACTTGTACATTTGGCTGGTGGTAAACCAGGTACAACATTTTAATTGTTTAAATATTCCTATACAGTTTGAAATTCATCGAGTTTTATTAATTAAGTTCAAAATCAATTGTAAAATAGATTTAAGGGGAACTGAAAAGTTTGCCATACATCAGCTTGCTTTTGTGTATGGAACAACACTAATAAAAAACATAGACATTATACTTGGTTTAAACATATTTTTATTCAGATAATATATACATGTTAATAATTTACAATTTAAGCAGAAAGGAATTGGACCGAGAGCTACAATAGCTCATAGTAGTCCTCTCCTTATACTTACTTATTAAAGCTGAAAGTATTTTATGGTCTCGCATTAAGTAATTTTTTGAAAATACCATCGGATGTTTGCTTATAAATCCAACAAATACAAAGACAAATACATGTATGCTTGAAATTTTAAGACCCTTCGTTAGACGGTGTAAACCAGTGGAAGACTATAAGCAAAGGACTGAAATCAGCTAGGGATGAATTCATCTACAACATCGACAATATTGTTGATAAGTGGGCTATAAGGTCAGTGCTAAAACTTTTTCCCTTAATATATTACAAAATTTCAAAATCATCTCCTTGATAGATTGATAATATTCGACGAATTGTCAAATTACTTGAATGTCAAAAGTCTTAAAAACGGTATTACAAATTACTTTACCAGGAAGAAATTATTATATTCAGTTGGCAAGAAAAAAAGATACATTACAACATGTTTATTATAGTATTTGAATAAAATATAATATCTTTGAATGACAAGAATTTGTATACGCGTATATAAAGAACAATTTTTTTTTCAGAGTTGGAGATTACAAACTTTTATACGGTGAAAACCCAGACGAAATAGACTCAACTAAAAGGCTGCAATTATTTGATTTGAAAAGTGAGCACTTGCAGAGATACGGATCTTTTATAATGTATCAAAATTGTTGAATGTATAATATTGACTCGTAGTTTACTTTACATATTTAATTTTACAAAACAAATATAGTTTACTACCAGTTGTATTGAAATGATAAAAAGACATATACTTATCTCTCGTTATTCAAAACTATTTACGATTATGTAATGTTATGTCTTTCAGGCGACCCATTTGAAGAGGAGGATATTGCCGAGAAGGAAATTGATATAGTAGAATCTTTAGTGAAAAAACTTAACTCTTATCGCGATACTCTAGTTCCTGCCAATACCGGAGTTAAAGATGTTCTTGCAAATCCACATAAATTCAACCGTGACCTTTTAAGACCAGGATGGTGTTAATAAAATAACTAATTAATAGATACTAATTATTACGATATTGTATAAAACATTTGTCAAGAAGTCCATTTAAGGTATACTATGCTCACCCTTGAGTAAAATATTTTAATCACAGAAATTAATTGAAATCTATGAAATTCGTATTGCATATTTCTCATTTGAATTGAAAAAAATGAAAAAATATGTATTGGAAGCTGCGTTCATTTTTACAATTCAATTCAATTCAAATAGTTTATTTTCTTCTCATCAGATGTACAACACATATATTACAATTAAAATGAATAACACTGGTGAAAGTACATATGCCATTCAATACAGACTTATATGAGATGTAAGGAAAGCTTACAGTGGTAAATGTAATAAAAATTATATTTACATACATATACTTCCCCTTTACAGGTCAAGTAAAATTGGCAACTTCTTAAAAACTGTCAGTGTTTTAAATGACACTATATATTCATAACAATCTACTTTGTGTTAGGCCAAAAGATGTTTATTTTATATTTACAAAAAGACTGAGGCAATTATCAATATTTTGTAAAAATCAGATTTGAGCATAGTATATCTTTAATTTGTGAATTAAATGAACCAGTCCATGCATGGTATGTGTGTACGTGTGTTGATTTTAGCATGAAGTGACAATCGTTATCTTTAAAAACCTGATATCAATTTAAAATTAACATCACAATCAAACACACACGTGATAAGTTAGATTGTGAACAATTTCAAATTAAAACTTTACATCAATTTTCAAATATAGTTATAAAAAAGAGTTTATTTTGTAATCCTCCAAAAGACACTTCACACTCTATAAAGAAAGAGTGTTAGTACAATACAAACTGAATGACTTGCAATATTGAACTTTTGAAATCAATATCTGAATTCCAAAACATATCGGAAATTAAAACAATTAAGAATAAAGGATATTTAGAAATCAAATTTAAAATTCAGCTAACATTATATATAATTTCTTTTCTTCTATTTAAAAAAATTACTAATATTTGTACGCATATAAATTTTTCTTAAAGTTGCTATAGTTTTGGCCTGAAATACAATGGGCGTGCAAATAAATCATTATGTCAAATGTTTAAACGGATGCTGCTTTTACTGTGTTTTGGTATTCTGGTATTTCAATGATTACGATTGTAAATCATTACTTGTAAACTTGAGAAAATAAGAATCCCTAAAAAGTCCAAACAACAAAACTGAAAATGTTGCAGGCTTGGTTTGATTGAGTCGGTTCATGAACGGTACTGTCAAGTGCAAACTACCGTCCACGTCCAAAAAAGCTCAAAATGTGTGTCTTCTAAAGATTTGACTGTTGATTAATAACAAACTTGTATGTATTAGTCGAGATACAAATATAGTGTGAAAATAAGTTTTTGGCCTAAAACTTCACTGATAAAATCGCGTTAAAGTACAGTGCTAAGTAGCAAAAATGCAGATAAAAATTAGCCATTTATTTGCCATACGACGAACATAAGCAACACAACTATAAGAAACTTTGTGAAACACGTTAGAATAGATAACATGGAAACCTAGAAGAACGCACACGACGTTAAAATTAAACTACGCATGCGCCTGTGTCATGGACAATAGTGATGAATTCATTTTACCGTTAACACCTGGTTAAGCAGAACATGAACACGGTGTTAAATTAAGGATTGAAAAACGTCCGCAAATGAGTTCAAACTGATGTGATGAACAGTAACAAATGTATTTTCATAATGTTTTGATTAAGTCATATGTTTTGCTACAGTTTTAATGTGACTTTATTTCCCTTGGGATACCAATATATTCACTGCTACTACCAAATTTACAATAAATGATGATTACATGTCATAAAATTGTCTTAACTGGTGAATGTATTAAACGGGATTAATTTTTATATTGTCAAATTGTTCTATCTATTTTGTTTCACCTGAACATGTTCCAATTGATTTTGCAAACAATAATAAACAACAATAATTTTTAAAGTGAGTTATTTGTGTTAAACAAAAAATTTCAACTCTCAAATCGGCTAAAGATTGTGATGATCTAGGAAAATTCATGCCCTCAAATATGCGTTTGGATTTATATACCTCGTGTTCAAAGTAAGTTTGAATTGTTATTCTTAAAGCAGCACGCCTCCAGTTTCCTGCTAATGTTCATGAAAATTTTGAAAATGTATTCAAAAGTAAAATATTGTTAAGCTGTGAAAATAATATGCACATTTCAAACGACACTTACAACCAATGTAAATTACAAAAAGAGGTCAAAATATGCAAAATTAACCCTTACTGCGTTAGTACCGCAGTAAAAATATGGTGAAAATAACTGAAAAATTGGTCATCAATCGCAAATTACATGGAAATTATTACTTTTATCTTTAGTCTTTCTACTTTTCATAGAACCTCAATACATTTTTCTCAAGTTTTATTTTCGTAAAATATTTTGGCTCATCTGGAGGCATGCAGCTTTAAATTAACTTTCTCCGTGACAATCGATTTCGGACATTGAGCTTAATGATCATTTGTCCCTCACCGCAAGCTGATTAAGAATCATGTGGAATTTGCAATCAGCAAATGTAGATAATTTGGTATTTAATGGTTAGTAATCAAGGGAAGTCAGTTAGAAGGAGCAGGCTCTAAGGTAAGAAAATCAGTGTATTTAAATCGGCATGAGAAACAGACAAGCAAAAAAAGTTAAATTTGAGTTTGGTATCAAACAAAAATATTAAAAATAATTTGAGTTTTAGGTTATTATAAACGGTTAAAAATGGAAAATCAATTACATTCATTATGACCCATCACATTTTTTGTAAAACTAATTTCAAATAGGCCTCTGGGAGTTATTCTTAAGTTACTGTTAATGCAAGTGAACCACGAGACTAAGAAATTGATACTGTTACCCTGTAACAGTACGTTTTAACTGTATAAAATCTGGTCACATGGTATATTTTCTAAATAAAATAAAACGAAGTGACCTGCACTTTTTCTCGATTCATTCTTATTTTCGAAGTTTACCACGATAGCGCATCACCAGAGTGACTATGACACCCATACAATTTAGTTGTTTGCATCCTAAAGAGCTTTCCACGTATGAAATATATGCTTGGTGAAAAGTCACAAAGTGAACATCCTTTTTCATTTGAAGAAATTTCAATGTGGATAACAATGTGTCAAACTGGAACATACCGACGATTTATGCATGCAACAAAGGATTATTTAACAATTTTAATCAGTTAAACGTTACAGATATGGTTGACATACATAAGATACCATCGTTATTTTATAAATGCCCTTTGTTAAAAAACATGCGAAGACTATTCTGGATACAGAGGAATAATATTTTACAGATCATAACAGTAAAAACCGGCTTGTGTTTTGTTTTCTAAATAGAACACAGCTTATTGTATGTTTATGACTGGTAGATATCATGACATTTATGTTGCAACATTTTCGGGAATCAACCATATGATGATGGCACCAATATAATTTTACTGTTGATACATTTTACTAAAATATTTCATAAGATGTAGATTTATACCCTTTACAGAATAGAAGAAAAGAAAAACTTTTCAAGTAGGCCTACAGTACACTTACAACTTGCAAGGTAAGGACAGTTTAGTTATTGTTACTCTTGGTTTAATTTTGTTACAGTTATATTCAGTAAACAATTTCAGATAATCGGGGTCAGAATTAATTACACATTACACATTCATTTCTATAATGAATGGCATATGTACTTTTACCAGTTTTATTCATTTTGATTGTGATATATGTATTGTAACAGTAAAAATATCATCCCTCGTAAAAATACTGTTACCCTCAAACCCATGTGTTATTTATATAGTGTAGATATATAGCTAGCATGAAAGTGAAATATACCCCTCTTAATATAAGTTTGCTTTTTTAGCGTGCTAACTTACAGTAATCTTACTTTTAATAATATTGTTTTGAAACTATCAAAGCACATCGAAATTAAAAAAAAAAACTTTTGAGAAATAAAAATAAAACGTTTCTGACGTGTAATGGGCCTTTAACTTCCATATTATATTTCCAGCTCTTAAAGATTCTTGCTTTTTTATGATTGCTGTTTCATAACACTTGTTATATAATTATCCTAGATATTTACATTTGTTAAAGTTTCATGCCAAATTGTTCCATTCTTCAGACGGTAAGATTTTTAAAAAAGTATACTATTATCGTTTTTTAATGTTAGGACAAAATTTAAAGTCATGTTGATGGATATCCTCTTTGTTTTTGAGACATACCTTTTAAAAAGGTTGAGGATCGTTGCAGAGACAAACGTGTGCGTTCTATTAACTTTTATAGTATATGTAAAAATGTAATGCAATCAAATTTAAACAAACTCTTTAAATGGTTCTTTCAAGTGAATCATTACAATCCCAGAAATTGCTGTGTTGTTTTTACGTATATGCTGCGAAAAGAGAAGATCCTGTTCGGCGATTATATATTATTCTGCTAGCCTTACCTTTTACAGCTGTAATCAAGCATTTACCTGAACAAGAGACTCGGGAAATCAATCGTGAGATGACTGAAAAAATAGATTGATCGAAACACATTCTGTTCATGTAAGCCACACTTGTATTTATTTGATGCATTGATTTTGCAGGGCATGTTCATGTTACAAGTTATCCTTAAGTAAGTTTTATATAGAGATGGATATCCTTACAATGTTTATTTATAATGAAGAATAATTTAGATATAAATATATTCATGCCGGTGTTCACGGATTATATATACTTTTGATACTGTAAAATGATATAGGAATACAGCCGTTTAAGTGTCACTATGTCCGTTAGAGATAGGAGTTGTCTCGGTAAGTAAATCCATGTTTTTCTTCCTAAGCATAAATATATAACATTGACAGAATTTTGATATACAAAAGTACAAACATACATTATAAATAAATTCATAATTCATTTGCCATCCATTTGCTATCATATTGTTATCTATTTTGTGTGAGAAATTAGCATAAGCCAAATCTAATCCAGACAGCTACTATATTCCCGGATGGACTTTTTATCTAAAAATTTAAATTCATTATAGTTATCATAGATACCATATTTTTTCCAAAGTTTTTATGACAAAATTCATATTTGTCAACTGTCATGGCCTTGTTATTCTTTATTCACAAACTTATTGCTTTATGTGTCAAA